AAATTGCTTTAGAGTGTGATACACTAGAAAATCAAGTCTTTTGACGAAACTGATGTATTCAGACGAGTAAAAATATTTTCATCACTGGTGTTGCAATCCTTCATGTTGACTTTGAATATTTTATAAAGAACAGCTACCAGAATCTGTTCTGTCAAAACAATGTAGGCATATATATAAATATTCTGCTACCCATGTGATATTTCCAATAATTGTGTGTCAGAATTTGAAGAATTATTCCAAATTCCTGGTATCAAACAGTCGGATTCATTAACAAAGACCATGATTCCTTATAACAACATGTTAACGTAAAATTTCATATAGGTAAAGGAGACAATTATATTTTTAGTCTACAACTAATTGAATGAATTGGTACAAACACTTACAGGCAGATTTCTGATTATAATCCAGTTATAATTCAGGTAGAAAGTGAAGTGTCAATTCCAAATTCACCATGAACAGGTAACTTTTCTACACAAGAATCGATTATTTGATATACTTCATTCCTTCATAGTGAATTTCTCGAATATTTTGCACATAACTGAAAGTTCAGGTATGAACGGTTTTTTTATATTATTATATGTTCATAAACCGCATTCAGAAAATTGTCGGGAAATTCAGCTTTTGATTTAAATATGTTTGGAAACGTTATGATCGAACATTTTTCTCCCACCATCTCGTAGCTCGTAGATGAAGCTTACAACGTGACAGCTTTGTATATAGTCTATATACATAGATTTCTGTGAGTGGGTAATGAAAAGTTAACCTTTTCTGTGGAAGATGGTGCCACTATTCTGTTCACAAGTAAATTTTAAACTATTTTTGCAGAGGTTTTTCTGTTACAACCTTATCAGTGGAAAAAAAATTTGACACTTTTTCATTGAGTAAACTACTTGTGAGAACATCGTTACTTTTCAGTTCTATACAAAAGTTAAACCATAATTTACTTCTCAATAATTTGTTCATTTGCTGGTCTATTCTTAGGTAAGGAAAACACATTATATCTTCAAATATTTATTGAACTGCCTGAAACTTACAAATTAACTCCAACGTCAGTAGAAAATAGTTCAATCCAAACATTGATTTTTTTCAAGTACAATTGTGTAAGACAAATGTGTGTGGAGCTGAACCTGGGAATTACAACAAGACTGTTCTAAATGATTAGACAACACAGTGTTTCTATTTTATTTGCCAGTATTAAACAAATTCAATAATGAAACCATGCTGCTGGTGAATATAGGAGCCATCAGCAAGGTAAGAAATGGGGAGAGCAAGGCTTCGGTGGCAAGAAGCCTTGCAATGCCGGAGTCTACTCTACGGGGATGGTGTAAAAGTGAAGTACAGATTCTTTTACGCCTCCAGCAGTTCAGTTGCGCACGGGACGATACAGAGGTGCAGCATTCATATAGCGACATAGGAATGTTGAGAGAGTGGCGGCTGCAGCTGTCACAACCGAGAAACNCGACTATTGCTTAACATCTGTTATGTAATAGGAGGAGACTGGTCTACTGCGCCGTAATGCAAAGGCCATAAGAAAAGAGAGAAGAAGAAGATGTCAGTACTTCAGTATATAATATACTTTCAATGGATGGTGATATTACACCTAAAATTTCTAAAGCGAATGACTGAAATTAAATTGTATTAGTTTTCAGTCCCTCAAATTTAGTTACCTAAGTTTGAAAAGATGGATTTTGGTCAAGTTCTACACACTGCTCAGAAAAATGAAAAAAATACCAAAAATGGAGTAAGAATATGGTATCCTCTCTAATAAATATTTCCATTACAAACCTTTTGTTTTTTAGATACGATACTACAGCACAAAATTTGAGCCACCGAAGAAAATGACGAAGAGTACCCCAGAGTTATCAGCAAACATTAAAAAATTTTTAGCCAAAAAAGAGGCAGAAGAAAAGAGAAAAGCAGAGGAGGATAGGAAGAGGCGAGAGGAATTACTAGCACTAAGATCACAGGTATTGTTTTGTTTTCAGTGAAAAGTTTCCCAAATGATACTATTAAAAACGTATGAGTTGTACACAGATGAGTAAGAATGTATAATATCTCTTAACAGATTGTGACTTTAACTGTGGAATTTGTGTTGAAAGAGTACTTCAGTATCATGTGTCCTATAAACATGTTCAATGTTTATTTTTTGTCATATTTCCCTGAAATATCAATTTAGCCAAATCCCTTATTATTCGATGAATTTTCCAGTCCGAATTGGCCTCACCAATTTTATAAAGTATAAATTCAATAGTGTTCCCAATGTTGCTGTTGTGTGGTTTTCATTGCTCCTGTTATTCCAATGGTCTTATTATTCCACGTAGTTTGTGCATAGCAGTGGCTGGTTCATCATTTATTTATTTAGTAGTATAAACGGGATACCCCTGTTTTACAATGTTGTAATACAATTGTATATAATTAAAAACTAACAGTAAAAACCAACTTTTGAAACTAATATAATAATAATGATAATAATAATCTTCATTTCAACTAGGCATCATAATATACAAAAATATATTTAAAATTGGATGGACAAAGTCAGTCCAACTTCATAACAATAAAGTATGTGTACTCGGAATTATCCAAGCATTCAATGAATAGAAATAATGACAGTATTAATTACAAATACTAGATATATTTCAAAAGGTGCAATTAATCGTTTATTATTTGAAAATTTGAACATGAGAAAGTTGTGTGCAAGGTGGGGGCAGTGTTTGCTTACACTTGAGCAAAAACAGTGTCGTGAATTCTTGCGTTGTTTCATAACTATGGATGAAACATGGAACATCACTTCCCACCCGAGACAAAAGAACATCCAAAACGGTGGACTCAAAAGGGAGAACCGTTTCATCTGCAGACAAGGTCATGGCATCGGTTTTTTGGAATGCAGGTGGGGTACTTTTCATTGACTGTCTTTTTTTTTTGGTACTTTGGGAGCTGTCTGACTTGTTCATTTAGTCCAAGTCTCCAGAAAACACTGCAGCCTCTTGGGCTTATTGCCCATCTTCTCATGACACCCATTCCATCAGTCTTGTTCCCTGTACTAGTTTGTACAGGTTTCGTGTTGGATGTTCATCATATTCTTCTGGACGTAATTTTGTACGTCCATATATTGCCTGCCTCCTGTGATTCAGTGTTGTTTCTATCCATTCGTTGCATAATCTGCAGCTGAGATCTCCGTTATACAGCCCCATGTTATTCAGGTGTCCTATAAGGGGACAATGACCGGTTAGTAACCCTGTAATTATTCTGAGCCGGTCCCTACTATATTGAAGTAGTTCTTCGGTTCTTTTCTCGGACGGTTCCCTAATGAAGGTTCTACTGTGTTTGTTGCCAGGTACTTTTGTCCAGTACTCTGTGTGCTTATTATTGGTCCATGTCCTAATCTGGTTTCGTATCAATGTTTTTGGTACCCCCAGAGCTGGTTCTGGACCTATCTATATATGAAGTTGATGATCCGCGTCTAGCGCATTCATCAGCTTTATCATTACCTGTGATTCCTGAATGCCCTGGCACCCAGTACAAAGTTAATTTGTTTCTGTTTGCAAGTTCATGGCATTCCCAGACCAGTTTTGATGTCACCTTCAGGTTTGTCAGAGCCCCTAGTGCGCTCTTGCTGTCAGTAAAAATATTGATCCACTCATTTCTTTGAGGTCTTGATTTTATAAGTCGTGCACACTGCAAGATAGCATACACTTCCGCCTGAAAGACGGATGTGTATAGTCCTAGCGGATAGCTTTAGTTTAAATTTCTATCCGCTCGGTATATTCCAGCTCCCGTTCCATGTTTATTCTTCAATCCATCTGTATACCAGGTGTGTTTTCCAAACATGTTTTCGGGTAGTTCTCATTGATCTTGTCATTCCCAAACATGCAAGTCTTTGCACCTTGCCTAATTTGTTGATGGCGATCGCCTGCTTCATCTTTGGCCACCAGACCAGATATGCGTATGTTATCATGGGTTCAACCACCATTGTGTATAGCCAATATACCATGTCTGGTTTTAGCCCCCATGTTTTTCCATAGGTGCGCCTGGCGAGCATCAGTGCTAACTCCGCTTTCAACTTCATCCTGTCCAAGTGTTGGTTCCAGGTCAGTTTGGAATCTAGGATTACTCCCAGATATTTAACCTCCCCCGACACTTGTATTTCTTCACCTCAAAGTTTTAGAGGTCCGGGACCCTCCGTTTTAGATCTCTTAGTGAATTCTACTATGGTCGCAGTTGGCTAAGAAAAAACGTGCTGTTTCATCAAGACAATGCACCTGCTCACAAATCCATTATGGCAATGACCAAAATTAACGAATTAAAGTTTGAATTGCTACCTAATGCACCCTATTCGCCAGATTTAGCCTCTCGGTGGTCAAAGATTTTCCAATGATGAAGAAGTGATGTTGACAGTTGATGGCTATTTTAGGAAACAAGACAGTTCTTATTACAAAAACGGTATCAAACTTATTGAGCATCGTTGGGAAAAGTGTACAGAGCTGCAAGAACAAAAATTAATACATTTTTTTTTCCAAAATTTCTGTCAGATAATGTTCCAGCTACAGTTTTGTTTGATTTTCAGGATAAAAAAGCAACCCGTCGAGTCAATGTTATGCTCAAAAGGACAAAATCGGCAAACCAGTCAGTGATTGATGATGCAACGGACAAGGATAATACAGCTGTTACACTGGCAGGTCCATTACAACCTGATGAAGATGATTACGGGTATGTTTCCCAAGAAGCTTCTGCCTTCTACAATCAAATGATGGAGAAGTACAACAAAATGCCTGATGAACCGAAATTCGATATGACCAAGAAGGTACCGTATATTATATTTGTTTATAAAAGTACAAAAATATTGTGATCAATAATGAAAAACGTAATAGGTAATTCAATTATTTTGCTTTACAGAAAGTCAGCACAAATTTGAGTAGCACCAAAGATAGGGTAAAAGCTGCTTTGGAAAAGGAAAGGGAAGATGCATTGCTGCCTCATCGTCGAAAAAGGAAACACAAGGATAAGAAAGACGATGAAGATGAGGAGGGTGTCAGTTATGATGCTCCTGAAAGGGTAAAAGAAGAAGATCGATCTGCCATGCCACCACCTCCTAAACCTAAGCTCAAGCCTAAAATGGCTCCACCTCCTATGAACTTTGCAGGTATGTTATATCATCATCTTTGATTCTTGAAATTATTTTTTTCTATAGTAGCTACCTAACTTGATAAGTAGAATTTTGAACCTCTGGTAAAAAAGAATCTGTTAAAAACAATTTTCCTTTCCCAGAACAAAAATGCTGTCTCTCAACATGCGTTTCGCAAACTAAGTTGGCATCACCAGTTACCTGTATGAATATTCATCGCCACTACTTATGAAACAAAATTACTGATAAATGTTTTCTAGTAAGAGATCAGCATAAATATTTTAGATAACAGTAATCATTACATTGGCATAATAAAAAATATGTATATATAAAATGAACTAGAGATTTAAATGTTAGTGCCACACATTTACAAATTTTTTTTTACTGATAGAATTACTAAAAATCGCTGAGAAGAAACAGTTTGAGCCAATTGTCATTGAGAAAAAGGAAAAAGAGGAGGAACAACTGTTTACGAAGAGGCAGAGGAAGGAAATGGAGAGGGAGAGAGAATTTCAACAAAGAAGAGAAGATAGGCGCAGAGAGATTGAAAATAGTCGAGTTCAAAGAGTAGGAGATAAACTGTCAAAACCTTCCTCTGAAAAACAACCTATCAAAGGCAAGCCAGTTGAAGATCGAATTCCCAAAGTGGGTGATTCCAGGACACCCTTGAATAAATCGATTAACAATAACAATCAGAAGCCATCGAGTTCTGATACAAACAAATCATCAGCTCAGAAATCAGATGGCAAAGAAAAGGGTCAAGGTCAGAAAGCTGGAATTGGCAAAAAGTCTAAACGCCCTCTTTCTCCTGAACCAGAGGAAAGACCAAACAGAAAGTACCTTCCAGGTGAGAATTGCTTGATTTGATTATTGTTTTTGTTTTTGCTGGATATAATTATTTAAATGGTTGCTCAGTGAGTCATGAAATATCCTTATGAAAGTGTCATCTGCAAATTATAAGGTGTTGATTGTTTTGTGAAAATCTAACGAGAGTGGCTTGAATGTTTGGTGTTATTGGCAATTGTGGTTATTAGCCTCGAGTTCTGGTTAGTCCAGGCCATTTCTTGAGTAAGAAGTTTGTAACCAATTATTGATATAGTAGCCTTTTAGATTTTGTGAGAATCTACTGTGTCAGGATACTGAATGAAAAATTGAAACATCTGTCTGTGGGTTGTAAAATCAGAAATATTTTACATACTAGATTTTTTACGTTGAAAAAGGTTTCTCAAAATTGATGAATAACAGATTTAACAACTATTCATGAAATTTTCACAAAACAATGAGCCAAAAAACTGCAAACTGTTGTTTTGTGAAAATCTAACGAGAGTGGCTTGAATGTTTGGTGTCATTGGCAATTGTGGTTATTAGCCTCGAGTTCTGGTTAGTCCAGGCCATTTCTTGAGTAAGAAGTTTGTAACCAATTATTGATATAGTAGCCTTTTTGCAAGATTCCATTCATTACAGAAATTAGTTTTTGCAATCCATTTGACATTTTGACTTCAAAATATTCAAGTCTTTATCTTCTACAATAAGTGGGCAGCAAAGGCGAACATTCGTTAGAAATTTCGATACTTTATAATATATAGCAAAAATGTTTTTCAATTCTGGTGGCTCTCCAGTGAAAATTTCTTGGCCTGGGGTAGTCTATGTTTTTAACTCCCTAAACTGCCTAGGCTCACGGTATTCTCAGTTACGCCATTCATGTAATTAATTAAATCCATCCACCTTCCACAAGATGAAATCTCTCGAAAAAAATTTTAGACCCCTGTGTTTATAAAAGGGATTTGTTAACCACTGTGCCAATTCACAAAATTGGGTAAAAGATCTATTTATAGCAATGACATAATTAATTATAATACTTTAGCAAGTAATCTTGAAACGTTAAGAAGTTCAAATACATTCAAACCTGAACGAAAAAATGTATTGAAATGAAAAAAATCATTTATTTATTTATCAAGCTCATTAAATATTTCACAAAAACTATTCAATTAGGTGTATTTTTCTGGTATAAAGTATATTAATAATTTTCAGAAAATCATCTGTAGAGAGCTGATATGATATATATTAATTATAAAAAATTAAATAATGTACTGGGCGCCATAATTTTGATGCATTTTAATCAAATTGAGGTACACATATTTTTTTAGGTTCAATTCACATAATTGTAAATAACTATTGCAGTTGAAAATAATAAGTGATTGGACAACTACTAGAGAAAATTTGCCGTGCCTTAACAGTAGCAAAATTAGGGATGTAGTCAATACAATATTTCGATTCGGTTTTTGCCCCAAATTTCACAATTTCACCAAATTATAATGATAATGAAATGATAATGATTTCCTAATTCAATGTTTTGTATTATTAGGTGATTTGAGATATAAGCCTGAAGTGGAACCAAAAAAATTCCTTCCAGATGATCTCCAACCTAGAAAAACCTCTAACAATGGACCACCTCCTTCAAAGCTAATGAAAGCCAATGATGGGTCAGCTAGGAAGGTGACAAGCAATGACGTACCTTCCAGAAAATATCCAAGTAGTCAGTCGACCACAGATCGTGGTCCTCCTAGTAAACACCAACCTGGTGATCAATTACCAAGAAAATCTTCATTTGGCAATGAACAGCCCAGAAAATCAACACCTGGTGATAAACGGTATACATCTGGTGACCCTCAACCTAAAAAAATTTCTTGGGGTGATACAAATACTAGGAAATTTCAATCTGGTGATCCTGTAACTAAAAAGTTATCATCTGGTGAATCTGCTGCTGGAAAGTACCCGCCAAGTGATATGCAATTCAAGAAGTCTCAGAACGGTCACACACCAACAAAGAATGGCATTTCTAGTGGATCATCTCAAAGAAACCCACCAAGTAATGTTAGTTTGAAAAAACTACCTCCCAAACAGTTCCCACCTTCTGATCTGAGACCTAAACAGTTCCCACCAGCAGATGTTAGACGGATAGGTGACTCAAGAGGATTGAAAAAGAAGCCTCTAGTAAATAAACGTAAGTCTGATTTTTCATCTTTGAAATTAACTATTCATGTTCTATCATTTTGAAAGTTCTTTAAATATTTATAATATACATCATTTTAAAAATTTTTTAAAAATTTCATGGCAGGTTAGGTTAGGTCGGTTAGACAAATTGCAAATTTAGACATACTTGCACATAAACATCCTTTTAAGAATGTGCTACATGCGGGCTTCTAGTTATAGCATTAACAAAAAAACAGATTTTTTTTTGATAAGTGCCAGTTTTCAACCAATGATTCAACCAAATATTTCTCAGTTTCACACATGAAAATAATATTTTATCTGACAGCTCGACTTTCTGATCTTATGTACTCCCATATTCAAAAAGTTATTTCTCCTACTCAGCATGGTTTCATATGACAAATCTTGCATGTTTATGTCAATATCTCTGTATGTACCTGGACAAGCAAAAACAAGTCGATGTTGTTTATTTAGACTTTCAAAAAGCCTTCGATCAAATAGACCATTATGTTCTTCTCAGCAAATTGACAAAATTGGGACTCTCTAACCAACTGCTTACTCTAATTGAATCATATCTAGAGCCAACAGAAAACAATTCGTCGAATATTAATCTTTCAAATCGGCAACATGAATTAGATGTAATTCAACTTTGGTGTAATAATAATCGTCTACAACTGATCGTATCCAAATGTAAAATAATATCATTTACAACAAAAAAGCGAACTTTAATGTACAATTATTCAATCAGTAATACTACAATCAACCGCGTACATGAGATAAAAGATCTTGGTGTAACATATGACAGTAAATTAACATTTACAACACATATATTGAGTATGACTGCTGATGCAAATAGGATGCTTGGATTCATTTACAGAAATGGCAAAAACTTCAGAAGTATCAAAAGTATTGCGTATGCCAGATGTAAGTTAGAGTATGGCTTTGTGTTATGGAATCCAGTTTACAACTACCAAAAAACATCAGTTGAGAGCGTGCAAAGGAAGTTTCTATAATACTTATGTCTAAGTTGTTGATGGACAATATCCCACGAGGGCCATTGATCATAACATTTTAATGACACTATTTGATATGACATCATTGGAAAATAGGAGAGTTATCCTTCGTATAAAATTCCTGTATGAATTACTAAACAACAATATTGACAGTATGGTTCTTTTACCTGAGATCAATTTCTTAGTATCAAGAAGTGAAGGTCGACACTATCTGAAATTCTATTGCGAAGCATCATGCACAAATATTATGCTACGATCACCATTGAATTTTATGTGCAATAGCTTCAATGAAATTTGTGAACATTGCGATATTCATTTTGACTCTGGAACTCCTCTGTATCATGTATCCACAATCACTTTTAATAATACTATAAATAACATTTGTGTCAGTACTACTACATTGCATGATTTGTAACATTTTTGTGTTATGTACTCAATTTTTCATTACTATTTTAAAATTCTACGTACACGAATATTTTATATATACTTCGTTTTAGCATTTACTTTTATACATTTCTATATTCCAATCATTTTTAATATTTATTTCATATATACTCTGTACTAATAGCATTTCCTGTAACTGGGTACTCCTGTTGGAAATAAATCGCTTTTTTTTATGAAAAAAAGTCACGCTGATTCTCATGATTATTCCCAAAGCTATAATTTGTTTGATAATAATTTGGGATATATCCTGTGAATGATAATAAATTAACTCATAACCTCAATTATTAAGTTATGAATAAACATATACTTATGAACTGTAGAATAATTATTTATTTATATTTTCAGGACGTGTAATAGATGACGATGATGATGAATATGATTCCGAAATGGACGATTTCATAGATGATGACGATGATCCAGATAATGACTACTCAAGACAAATTAGTGAAATTTTTGGTTATGACAAATCTAGATATCGGGACATGGACGATGACATTGACAATATGGAATCTTCTTTTGCCCAGGTGATGAAAGAAGATGTCATCAGTACCAAAATTGGTAAGTGTATTTTCAGTATTACTCATATTCCTTTATTTCATATGCACACATTCGAAACACAAATTTATGATAATACGGAAATTGATAGAGTAAATCATTACTTTATTTTCTTGTAATATTGTTATGCACTTGAGATAATAGATGATGATACTTGCCTTTTTTAGGCATTTTCAGTTGAAGTAAGGTAAATTTTTTGATAAAAAAAAGTTCTATGACCCAGCATGACGCATTCACATTAGGAACATTTATTAACCGGTTCCAACCACTTTTAAACTGTAATGGTCCGACTGTTTTTGGAAACCAATCTATCAATTTGGCAAATGTTTATTCAGCTGTGGCGCTGTACATTCGTCTGGATAAATAAATTCAATTATTCTTCAATTGGGGGATCGTGAACAGCATCCCACAAAAACGCTTTTTGAAGTTATATTTCTTTTGACACGTTAGGAAAAATTGATGAAAGTACAAAATTCTCTATCGATCAGTATGTACCATGACACATTACAATGAATATCGACGGCATTCTGCCACAAGTCGTTGAGTCCAAATTGCTAGTTTTGAGAAAAACGAGTTTGAAGTTTAAATGTTAAGGCAAAATTCAATTTGATTCAATTTGATGATAAATGCCAGAATAAACCTTATGTGAGCTCCCACTTGTTGAAAATCGACATTTGATGGACTTAGTGATATTTGCTTGACAAAAAATTTGCTACGAGCTGGAAAGATAATATAATACGTCTAATAAATTAATGGACAAATTTTAGAAAATACTGAAAAAATAGAGTAATATTACTCACCTCTCTGTTGTTACTTGTGAGAACTGCAGGAAGAGTAGTATTGGGCTTGTTAATTGACCTATTACTCTGGGCAAGTTCTAGAATCCGCTTACCCCTATTTTGTTGCATTGTAACAATAAATCAGTCACTAATCACTCAAAATTTGCAAAACTTCTGGATGCACGAAAACGAAAAGTAACTAATAAAACAGAACATAACCTCAAAATGGTTGAAATCCATTGCAGCTAGAACTCGTTAAGTCCAAGAATTCTGCCTGGTATAAAATGTATTCTTTGTTACTTGATGATTTTGCTACTCACAGTAGCATACATACATATCAGTAGTGGACTTAATGAGTTCTACTAAAGGTGCCGGATGACAATTTAAGATTGTTCATAATATTTACTGAAAATTGGCAAAAATTGACTTAACGACTTTTAGCAAAACGCCATCGATATGTATTGAGATATGTAGCTACAAAAACACATGACATCGAAACACACAAAACCATTGAATCAACCTAATATATTGTTCACCAAGTATAATTTATGTTACAGGAATCATGGAAGATCTAGAAGATATGAGAAAAGAGGAAGAAGAAAAAAAGAGGAAGATGATGATGAAGAAAAGGAGATTGTAGGTTTGCTCTGTTAAATATAGTTTTTATATTTGTTATTGGTTGATTTTGTGTATTTATTCATGTTTTTAAAGATTACCTAGAGTTCTGACATAGCTTATATCATACACAGGGGCACCACTAATATGACTTTGCTGTTAGTTTTTGCTTGAAAACTTACTATTTGTTTTCACTTTGAATTTTTCAAATTCTATGTATAATGACAGTAGAGAATTGAAATTTGGTAGAGGGTGTAAAATTAAAAGTGGAATAACTTTTCCCTCAGAAAATTTCTTTCAAACTGTCAATTTTGACAGGTTCAGAATTACGTGTGACAACAAAAGTGGGACTCATATTCAGTTAATTTCAAGCAAAAACTAATTGAGGAGTCACATTTTAATGATATTCATTAATAAAATAGTACCATATGGTACAGACTTTAGTGGTTTCACTGTATACCTATTTGTAATTTCTTGATGTACATGAATTCTAAAATTGAAGAAATTCACTTTCAATAATGAAAAATGGTGTAAAAAGAATTTCATGAAAAATGAAATGTGCCTTCTGAAAAGCGTAATTGTTAATTATTGTTGAAAGATGGGGAATCAAGGATATGGTGCGGACTCTTTGTTCGATTTCAATATCATTTCTAATTATACGCATAGATTAGTTTTTCACAGTTGTCCAATGTTCAGTGAAAATATCGCAATAAAATGCTACTCAAATCCTTTATAATTATCACAAAATTGATTGAGTAAGAAGCAACCCCCATACATTTGCCAAATGTAGTGGATGAATAACCTAAGGGGGCGCAAATGCAAAAGAAGACCATGAAAAATAGTATGTAGTTCAAATATAAGTATATAAGCAAGTCTTCAAAATCCTATTGGATGATATTGTAAGATGACAATCATTAAAACATTTTGAAAAAGTCCATTTCACAGGAATGGCTTGATTTAAATCGAATAATTCAAATCTTGATTTTAATAGCGGTTTTTAATTTTTATTATTGATTTGAATTGAAAAACTACAAAATATAATCACCTGTGGTGAGATCTATTTTATCTTGTTCTTTAAATATTTTTGCAAATTGCTTTTATCCACTTTTTCTTTTTGCAAGTTTTCTATATATTTCTTCATTTCATAAAACACCCAAACTGTAAACTTGAACATATTAGGGTTAGATAGACCGAATCATATAACTACTGTCCCCATCTACGAACAAAAACCGTAAAAAATTTAAAAATCAATCCACCATACTTTTATGAGTTTGGAGTGTTTCATGTTGAAACAAGTCACAGCCGAGCGAGTTTTCCGATAAGAATAAACCTATCTAAACCTAGTCAATTTGAAACAGGATTATCCGTGTCAGAATATTAAAATAAAAATTATTTTGAAAGGTAATTGAATACATTTTACAACTACCCATATTTAGAATAAATAAATTCAAGGTAACTTTTGTTACGAAACAAAATGGATAATTGAAAGTCGATATTTTCATGATTTATCTAGAAAATAAAAAATCTTTTTTTATTCGTATAAAAATCGATGAATGTTTTAATTAATCATGATTTTTGCCAACCCTGATATTTAATGAAGTTGATCATTTCATCTAAAGCAACTGAGGGGGGGTTATATCATAATAAAATATTGTTTGTGAGTAAGAACATATTTTTCATGTGATAAAAATTGCTTTATTTTCATTGCACAAAATATTCAATTAGTTGAATGTAACCAGGATAGTTGGTAGACGTGGATATTTCTTTATGGCTATTGTGAAGCCGCATTTTTATTTTATTAGATCTGTTACTGTCAAAAATTTTAGGTAATCATTTTTACATAGAATTATTTTAAAGGACCAACGGAGCATGTTTTTGTGATAGGAAAATATTTATTTATATAACGTTAAATATATTGTTTATTGTATACATAATTCATATGAAGTGATGAAGATTAAAACAGAATAATTTTGAAACTATTTACCTTTGTTTCCTTTATTAACTAAGATCACAAGTCTGTAATTTCCAAAGAATAATGTGATAAAGTGAAAGGGCTGGGCTCCGATTTGAAAGATGGAGTAATGATAGATAAATGTCCCTCAAACTCTAAAAGCTCCTCTGAAGGGAGAAAAAACTTAACATTATCGATATCAGTTCAAACCCACTAAACATGGAAAATGAAATAAAGTTTCAATAAATTTTGAACTACTCAGTACTTGTGATTGTCATTAGGACTGAAGTTTCTTGAAGAATGCATCGACATCATGTCCCCTTTCACAGGATTGTTCTCATTAAGCACAGAAGTTCGGGCGAATATAATACTATAGTGAAGGTATACATGCAGCAGACCCTGAGTAGTATAACAAGATGGACAGACAAAAAAGGGCTGAACATACGCCAACAAAATTGACGACAGTAGCATTCATCAAGAGGATCAAGGTAGAGGTTAGGACCTCTAAAATTCTGGGGGTGAAGAAACACATCTTTCGGGGTAGCTATTAACAGACTAAGCAAGGTGCAAAGACTTGCTTGTTTTGGAATAACAGGAGCAGTGAATACCACACCAACAGGTGCATTGGAGACACTCTTGAATCTTTCTTTACATTTTTTAATAATGGGAGAGGCTAGAGAGGACCAATTTAGACTAGAAAATTCACTGAGTTACAAGAGGTCAAGCAGAACAGAGATTTTGAAATAGTTGGAGGAACCAAAATCGAACACGGACTACATGACACCAAAAACTGTGAGAGCGGAAGAAGATCAGTCATCCGGAGAATATGCTCTACGAAAACACCTGATATTCAGACAGGCAGAAAATCAAACGGGAGGGGTGGTGTAATTTATTATTACCTGCTCAGTTAAATCGCACCCGTCTTGCAGACTGAAGTATATGCAGTCTTGAAAAGCGCAATTAACGGAATGAGAGGATCAATATTTCAACAGACAGGCAGGCATCACTTGGGGCACTGAAAAACCCAAAAGTTACTTTGAGACTGGTCTGGGAACGTCGTGAAGAACTGAGAAAACTGGTAGACAGAAATAGATTGACTCTATATTGTGTGCTCAAGTAACACGAAGTATCACAAACAACTAAAAAGTGTACAAGACATGAATTATTAACTCAATACATAGGTACTCCATAGCTATAGTGGAGTACCAAAATATTTGGTCTGGAACCAATTTGGTTTGCAGTTTTTTGAAATAACTTCTAATCCAAATGACATATTGGCCAATTCAGTAATCGAGGGGAGCTAATTCTTATTTGAACCACTGATGAGATCTACGGAAGATTGAAACTGTGCTCTCCATCAACACTTTTGGGCTCTGGTAATATCTGAAGAGTGTTTCACTACCATTTCAATAATTTTTAATTTCAAGTTGAGAAAAACCATATGCGTCACAAGGCATTTTCTACTGTACTACGTTATTTCTTGCCAGTGTCGTATAATCGGAATTTGCAATGAATTACTATTTTGAAGTGAAAATACGAACAAAATCATTTCTGAAACAATCATTTTTTTTTGAGCAAATTCTTGACGTACGGGTTTTGCGAAATCAATTCATTTACATATCGTTAGAAAATTGAGTATTATTAAGGATTACGAACGTATATAGCATGTAATAAATCCTGTTTTTTTTTTTGGAAAAAATTGCTTCACGAAAGTTTCGCTTGAAAGTTGATAAAAAATAACTTTCTTCAAGGGGGTTCAAAACAGAAATCGATCTGTTTGACTCATAATCCTACTCGAGATTTGAAGATTTGATGGCACCCCGCCGAGAGGGTGAAAAGTTGAAAATGCTCAAAATACTATTTTCCTAGAAACGCGGAACTAGGAGATATTTTTTTCCAAACAAAAACTTTGAGATCCTGTAGAACAAGTTCGAGTTACAAAAAATGGTCTCACGAGTCATTTTAACAAAAAAGGAAGAAATGAAATGAAAAAAGTGTTTCAAAAAAGGATGCGTTTATTTCGAATATATCTAAAAAAAGGTTACATACCTACATATCTGAGTCTATTTATTTTTAAAAAATCTCATTGTTTCAAAATATATCTATATTTACGGAATTTATTCATTACAAAACGATTTGAAATCGAAGCAACATGAAATTAAAAGGATTTTTTTATTGCTTGAACATATAACTTTTTTTTCGTGAAGTGACTTAAATCTATAACCAGAATATTTATTTAGATTATTATGTAGTTCAGTTCATCTTTCCCAGAAGAAATATTTATGTCATTTAACATAATTTGTTTTGATAATAGTTTTCATTGTTTTATGATTCAGTTTCTAATTTGCCATTAATGAAACATTTTTTAGAGAATCAGGGAGTTAGAAATAGTTGAAATAATCCAAAGGAATAGCGAACGTTCTGTATCCTATAGAGAAATTGTGAAGTCAAAGTATCGATAGTTAACCACAAATATTCAAACCAACAGTCGGAACCATGTGTATATTATGAATTTTAGGATATTTAGGAAACATTTGATTCTGAATTTTGTAAATTTTCTCGGAATGAAATCTTTATATTTTCAAGCAATAAAAGTCTGCACCTGAATGAACATCATCAATCTGATTACCTCAAATATAACTTGTACCATTGAAAATTGGGAAAATTAACGTTCATTGAAGGCCATGCTTTGGAATCAAGTTTTTCTATAATAGGTGAAATTTCGATATTATTTTTCATGATACAAAAAAAGTTTCAAATATAGGAATTTGAGAAAACAAATATAGGAAAAATAGAAAATAAAGAACATACAAAAACATTACTTATGGGCATCATTCGAGGTTTGATCCAGTTGGCTATATTCAACCGTTCAAAAATTCGTTTTAAATCACTCTGTCTAGAAGTGACGAAAAAATATATTTTGGTCTTAACCTACAGGCGCAGAGAGTTGTCTGTGTTTAAAAGAAATCACGCTCTGGAAAACTATTTATTAAAATGTCAAAATAGGCCCCTCTCGGTGATCCAAAATATCTGAAAAAGAGAAAATTATCAGAATTTCTCTAGATATATGGTTTGAAAGGGAAAAATGAAAATGAAAAATGAAATTATTTCAAAAGTAATATACATAATTACAATCTCTGGCATTAAACCAAAACAGAGACAACACTTTTCTCAAAGCAGGTTTGATCACTCAAATTATAACAAAATAAATATTTCGAAATGAAATCTTGAATCATTAATCTCTTTCAACGTACCTACAGAAACTAGGTTTACGAAAGGGATCGGTCACTAGTTAACAAATCTTCTCAAAGCAGGTTTGATCACTCAAATTATAACAAAATAAATATTTCGAAATGAAATCTCGAATCATTAATCTCTTTCAACGTACCTACAGAAACTAGGTTTACGAAAGGGATCGGTCACTAGTTAACAAATCTTTCTCTTTGACAAAGGAATAAATTCATTATTTCGCTTACTGTAAATATTTAAAAAAATCTGAAACACGTCAAATGTAAATTAATTGACATTCTTCAACGTAAAAATGCCACCCCTACCTTCAACCCCCTTCGAAGACAGGTACAACCCCCAATTTTTTAAATAGGAAGTACCTATAGGTTTGTGATATATCGTTTGAAAGGTCTCTTCATTCTCTATTTAAAAATAATATCGCTTTCAAGTTTATTGTAACAATTAAGATAAAATAAATTAAAATCATGTGGTTACCGAAATTCGATGAAAGTACACCCAAAAACTAGAATGTAATGCAAAACGTAATGAAATGTAGAATACGAAAAAGAACTATAGATGTTAACGAAGTAGATGTCCAAAATGTTCACGGCGAACGTCCTTGGCAACATCCAAATCTCAAATAAAACTGTCTTTCAACATTATTTAACATATCAGGCGTGACCGACCTAAACGTAAGCGTTATTCGTTCTTTTAAGTCACTAAAATCTGAAGGTTTAGTTTTGTACCCGTTGCTCTTTACATATCCCTATAAAAAATCTATTGATTCAATAGATCCTCGCCTACCTATCCACCGATTGGGAAATTTTGTATCGAGACACTGCCGGGCATTAACTTGGTAATGTGGTGGTGTTCCATCTTGCTGAAACCATATCATATTCACTGGAACTTGGGGGTTTCCTGGATCAGGATATAAATTTGCTAAACTTGGAATGACATCATTTTGAAGTAGTGCCAAATAATCATCGCCATTCAAGTTGCCCTCAATGAAAAAGGGCCCAACGATATGGTTTTCTACAATCTCTGCCCAAACATGAACCTTTTGAGGGTATTGCGTGTGTACTTCTCTCATCCAGTGAGAATTTCCCGTTGTGGTAGCAGCAATTTTGCTGATTAGCATGACCGTTAAGAGGCAAAGTACACTCATCAGAAAACATAATGTCTTCTAACTGCATAATATTGTTATCCAACATGTTCATCATTTGCTCACAAAAATAAGTTCTTCTATCAAAATTTTCTTTCATGAGCTCCTGAGCTCATTTAATGTAGTGGATACCTGTCTACCGATGTATAGGTATGTAGGTTTCCCTCAAACTCAATATCACATCTAATTTGAGCTCATCTCTCATTGAATTGGCAGCTGCTTTTTTTATCTGCCCCACATGACCAAGCTCGCGAAACTACTTGTCTATTTTGTTTATTGTTCCTTGAGATATCGGCGGTAAATTAGGAAATCTCTCATGAAATAGTCGAGCCACTTCCTGTTGTGTTCGGGTTTTATCTCCGTAACCAATCATTTGTAATTTTATGCATTTCTTTTTATTTAACCATTTGTCAGACTAGAAGTTAACGAACTTTAAATTGAAATACTGACAACTAATGTAACATACAAAACAAGTTGACAAGGCGTTTTTTAAACTAACGTTGCTATGGAAATTATTTACAGTTTCTTAAAGGATACCATCTAAAAAAAACATTGCTTTGGTTTTCGCTTACTGCCTTATTATCAATACCTCAACATAAAAAAAGTTTTGAGTGTATTTTATCGAATTTTGGTAACCACATGATTTTAATTTATTTTATCGCAATTGTTGCAATAAATTCAAAAGCAATAACATTTTTGGATAGAGAATGAAGAGACCTTTCAAACGATATATCACAAGCCTATACTTCCCATTTGAAAAATTGGGGGTTGTACCTGTCATTCGACAGGGGTTGAAGGTAGGGGTAGTATTTTTCCGTTGAAGTATGTCAAATTTTAATTTAAATTTAACGTGTTTCGGGATTTTGTTAGAATATGTACCGGAACCGAAATAATGAATTTATTCCATTTGGCTTTTACACAATGTATACAGTCGAGCCACAGTAGAATGCTCTACTGTGGTCGAGCTGTTAAGGTCAGTAGAAACTCGAAACTGGTCTGTAGGTGATCTAGTAGATTAATTTCATCGTGATCCTGCTGCTGGATGCTGCTGGATATTGCATAAATGCCTGTTGGATATAATTTAATATACATCGCGGAATTGGCCAGGAAAGTAGTTGCAGTTCCAGCAGGTATTTTAGTACTTTGAAATTTTCTGTTGGTGATACTCACTTGATGAAACTATGGTTCTATTGAAAAAATCATTTGAAGAGAACTGAAGTGAAAAGTATAAAATACAAACGTTAGTACAATGGGGGAAAACCGAGAACATTTAATTACAAAACGAATGTCAAATATCGATTTCGTTTCAAAATTTTAAACTCACCTTTGGCAATACTCCACCATGGCAGTGTTACATAAGTTAAAAACGCGTTCAAAGGTACTGATTGTGCTCTTTTGTTTTCTTTCCAAAAATGGAATGTTTGTGTAAAACCGCGCATCGTCCACAAAGGGTTGTAAGCTCCATCATCCAGTTCTGAAAAATTAAAACTTTTGAAAATGATTTGAAATCTTCGAAAAGTTGGTTAGTCACATCGCCCCCATAAACAATGCTTTATTTTACAACCGCTACATTCGTTATCTTTGAAACGGATCAGTTCGATGCCATCTCCATCTCTCTTACACTCATGAGTGTAGGAAACTATGATGAAAAATAGAAAAAAAAAACTGAAAAATTGTATTTTGTATCTTTGTTAGTGTACGGTGAGAGTTCATTCAATTCATATTTTCTTCACTCTATTCTTTTCTTATGTCTCGTACCACCCTGTACAGGCAAGTGGTTGCATTCCAGAACACTTGAACCTCTCACGGTTCATCCCTCTCGAGAGAGCGTTGATCGGTTCAATGTATATTAGTAAGTTTCAGTTCTGTCGTAAACAGCAATGTTAAACATCTGTTTGTTCTCTATTATATTCACGCACTGTAAAAATCTTCCAATACCTGCTATCGAAGTAAATAGTTAAATGTTGAAGTAGTGTTTTTTGTTAACAAGGTTAACGCTACAAAATTCAGTTTGATCATACAAACAAAACAGTTAGGTCGGAAACTTTTCAGACTAAGACTACCCTTTTAGATGCATTTGAAAGTTTAGAATTCGAAAAGGAGTAATATCTATGATCGACGGCAAATATCACCCATCCAAACAGCCCATTGTGTAGGTACTCACTCACGTAATAATTACAAGTAGAAACCGAGAAAATACTAGGTATCATAACATGTACTTAATCATTAAAAAATAACAATAACTAATACTACTACTAACAATAATAATGACACTCATTCAATGGTTCGTCCAGATATATATCTGGGAGAATTAACAACTAACAAAAAAGTCAAAATGAAAATAAATTATTGAAATACAGCTGATGTACTAAATTTGCTCATCTGTTTTTGGTGCCGAAGTTTTCGAGTAATGTATCATTATCTACTTGGAGAACTAAACTACATTTCATTAACTAAAACGAATAGGGCATACAAGTGACGCCGCTTTTTTTGTCATGGAGAAACAATCTTACCACTATCGTTCTTCTTTTGAACATCACACCAGTAATAAATGTGGGTGCCATCGGGAGTAATTCTTTTTGGAGGATTGATATGTTTCAACCAAAATTTTTGACAGCTAACCCGTCTTCGACTTTTCGGTAAGGTACAGTAGCTATAAACATTCCTAATATTTACGTGATTAAAGTTGCCATTTTCATTGCCGTTCACTCTCAGTCTATCTACATTCATAGTTTTATTGCATTGTACTCGATTATTTTCGGACAACTTATGAATATATTTGGGATTTGCTTCAGGCTCGGTATCTTCCAAGCAGTACTTCACTTCGTGAACAGAGGGCAGTTCTTCTTTGCCATTAACGGTGATATACAGATTTTTCGCGGGATCATAAAACTTAGAGACACATTCGCTGGTGCATTTTCTATCCATACTGATCGCATCGTCAGCTAACTCGTACTCGGTAAAGTTAGCATTTTGCTGTGTTTCTTTAAGTTTCTTTCGAGACTTGCTGAGCTTTTCCGTGAAAGCACAGTCACTGTCAGGGGGGCCTAGGCGGGCTCTTTGCGAACATGTTTTGTGGTTATGGACGCTACACCCAATGCTGTACATTTCAAGCTGAGTTTCTCGGTTTCTTCTTTGAAAACACCCGCAGCAATTGGATGTGGAAGCAGAACCAGTCTTATCTACAACAACGAGAAAAATATATTAGACTTGCTGGTTTATATCTGTGTAACTAACTACTGAAGGGTGAGAAAATACTACGCAATGTAGATAATTATTCATCAGTTTCATCACAAACATTTACAATTTTATTATTATTACTTCTCAGGTATCTTATTCTAGCGAGTGTATGATTGATTTTATGGATTTTTTTGTCAAAGATGCAATTCTTAACAAGACATACCAAAATTTTCTACCCATATCAAACTTTCTTTGGGAGATATGATTTTTGATGGTCTAATATAATGAAACAAGGTAATCAGGCAGTTGGAAAATGTCTTGTTTACAGTGATATTCCACGATATATACAATAATTTTGATATCTTATTCTGCTTCTACATCCAATTGTCATGACAAATGTTAAAAATAAGAATAATGGTTATTTTTGGAAATAACCAATTGTAAGTTATTTAAGTCAAAAATTTGGTCAATTTTCATCTCAGTAAAAAAATGTAAATATGGCATTTGTAGTGTGTTTTCATTCCATGAGAAACCCCGAGTAATTAATAACATAGAGCTTTCAATGATAATCATCACTCGCTCTACGAAATCCTGTTATGGTATATCCCATATTTAACAAATTATAGAAGATAGTGAAATATGTGATTCATAGTAACTTCCAAGCAACTGTTAGCAGGTAATCAGTTAATATCAATGCAATACCCTTTCGCGTTTTGACCGCACCTCCTATACAAACATGTGCAAAGATGAATTGTCAAATGTGAAAATACTATTCATCTAATGAATATTATTTACAAGGACTTTGAATTTTAGGACAAATTTTATGTTTTTGAACTTGGCTGGCAGCTCTTTATAAATTATTACACCATTATGAAAAATGTAATGTATCACAATTTCCTTTCATGTTATGTTTAGATGTAGGGGAGAGTGTGTACAACTGTAACTCGGTACAATTGTAACACTGCCCATAATGTCGTTTAATCTTTGATCTATAACTTTGGCAACACAGAGTTTAAATAATCGTGTAGCCCAAATAAGTTTAGTTTACCGCCAGTTGAGAAGCATCCATCGAAGTGATATGGTGTGTGGTATATTTTAAAACTGTCAGCAATTGTCCTAAAGTAATTAAGTTAACACAGGTAGTTCATCTGTTTACGAATAATAGTCTGTAAGTAATTTAAGGTTATGTGTCGTCCTATTTTATCGATTGCAAACAGTTTCCTATAATGTGATGTCAGTACAATTGTAACATGGTCGGTGGGTACATTTGTAACAGAAATATACCCGCAAGTGACATACTGTTGATTCGATTCTTTAGATTACAATGCCTCGTCAAAGAATTAGAAAAACCAATAGAGGACCATCCAACGAACTGAGCTGCTAATCGTGTTATGGAACAGAACATATCCATACGGCAAGCAACACTCTTTCGTTATGTTAAAAAGTTACGAGGTGTCTGGTATTTGGCCGTTCAATAGGGATATTTTCAGAGATGATGAATATGCGCGCTCTTTTGTTACTGATAAACTTCTGATGCCACAAGAAAAAATGAAACACCAAATCAAAACGAGACCCTTGGAAATATTGCTATTCCAGGTTATAGCTTTCTGGTTCGCCAGAAAGCCAGCTCAATAAGTCTTTTAAAGTTTTGAAAAACTATTCAACCACTTCCAAAAGTTACTGTACCTAACTAGAAAAAAAATACTAGAAGAAGAAGCATTAAGAAAATAAAAAGCGAACGCTGTGAAAATAAAAATGGATTCAGAAGAAAAAGTAGTGAAAAAAAGTTGAAGAAAATAAAAACAAAAAAATCAAACGAAAATCGAAAGCAACGGGAAATGACAGAATAAAAATCTGCGATAGCACAGATGAAGAATCAATGTGTCCTTATTGCTTCAAATGGTACAGAGAGTTATCGTCATCCACGTGGACCCAGTGTCACGAATCTAAAAAGTGGGCACATGAAGATTGTGCACATAAGCTGCGTCCTGATTTTTTCTTTTGTGTTAATTTTTTGTTAATTGTGATGATAATTAATACGATAGTGATTGAAGGTTTCAATTGTTTGCGAATAACAATAAATAAGTTGAACTGAATATGGCTATTTTCAATAAAACATTAGCATCGTCATGTGTGATGACGGTATTTCAGACAATGTTACAATTGCCCCCTTCCTGTGTTACAACTGTCCTCTCGATGGGTACGAATGTAACATTCTTCAGATGAGCACAATATGCATTTTTCTGGTTTCAAAATTCACAACATACATAGATATTATACAGAAAATAAAAGCTAGATCTTCAACTCATGCAACGGTTCCATTTTTATTCGCCCGTGCACAATAGTTGTTTTAAAAAAAATCAAGTCCTAATATTGTCACAATTGTATCCACTCTCTCCTACTCGTATTTCTTAAAACGTTCGCATGTGAATGAAATTTTAAACTGCTATATTTTTCATTTATAGTTGTTAGCTGAATGAAGAAAGAAATCGCACATTTATAAAGTTAATTCAAATTCAAAAACCCTTTTAGTTGGATCTCAGTGTGGAAGTCTGATAGATCTATTCTGAAATTTGTTCAGTAGTTTGAGAATAGAGGTATTCGCAGATCTCATATGTTTTTCAATAAAATTTTTAACTGTTCCTAATAATGCACGGAGTTCCATTTATATTATGATTTTTTTTTGGAAATATACGACTTATTAACATATTTCAACTTTTTATGCATAATTTTTTGATTAAATTCCTCGAAAATTACTGGACTGAAGACTGAATGAAATATTGAAAGTGATGAACTTTTCAACCTCTCTTTCCGATACAATTCATAAGATCACTAAGAGGTGACTAGTAACTCTTTATGAAATCTTCAGTTGCAATACCCACCATCTCTGAGATCTCCAGCTTCTATTTCACTGACCCCATTATCAATGCAATCAAGACCTTCGCTCTCTGATCTGGCTTTAACATCCAACTTCGATTTCCAGCTACCTCGTACGAAATTATTCAGATTGGCGCTTGGGTCGCTTAGCCGCCTTTGACTGCGGTAGACGAAGAAATCCTCTTGGTCTTCTTCCCAGTCCGAGTCCCACATGTCGGTCGCGCAAAATCCTGGTTCCGAAGTTGGAGTCTCCACTCCTGAACCTATCATAACAACAGTAATATGATTATTATTCGATATTGGTGTGAAATAACCTGTGAAGAAGGTTATGATTAGTGATAATTATGAAAAAATATAGGTATTCATTGTAGGTACGATTAAAAATATTGATGATAAAACTTAAATCCTCTTCAACCATAAAATTGGTGACGAATAAAAACACTGAACTATAGATTATTTAGGCCCTATGGCTACTCAGTTTGACAATCTATAAGGTCGTTCATAAATCCATTGTATTCGAGCCCCGGGATGATACTTCTGGCAAATTGTTCCTTGATATCATGATGTCTTGTAGATGCTTCTTGTTCATCCAGCAATAGGGTAAACTTCAAACCTTCCGGAGATCAGAGCTTGACACTCCCAAAGCAAGTGTTCTACAGTTTGGACGAAACAGCTACAGTAGCGGTAATTATCCCTGAGGCCAGTTTCTGTAAAGACGATCTTTGGTTTTTGTTAAAACTTAGAATACGTTTTTTCTTTGGAGAAGGGTTAGTTAATTTTTCAGGGATATTTCAGTTGATCAAATTCCTATTGTTGGCATTCTACCTTCATGGATCTCATGAAGTTCACATGAAATTTCGGTTTGGATAGAAGAGTTTTGGTTTCTTAATTCCAACACATCAGCTCCAATTTTCTTGTGATCTGACACCCACTTGCATGTTATTTGATTTCTTTCTGGGATTTGTTCTATGAAGGTTCTAAGTCAGTTGAAAATACCAAATAAATGACTTCAAACCTTTCAGTAGTCCAAATACAATTTTCTGTAACATGATTGCCTCTTTTGAGACATCCTAGAGTACACGCATCGCATCTACAGCATTTACTTCTATTTGGAACATGGTGAGGATACTTTCTAGAGGTTGGAAAGTTTGAATCATGGCCCTGTCGCTCCCATACCAACATCATCTGTCTTGCATACATTTTGAGTTCTCACTCGACTAGGTATGGGTTTGGCAGCGGTTCACGAAACCTCCAAATTTTGAAATTGAAAATCATGCCTATCTGGCTTTCTGTCGATGAGATTCGACATAAATTTCAGTAAGATAATATTCAGGCTCTTTACGTGTCTACATAGATTCACTTTCTACTTTACTTGTAAGCGTTGATTACCGCTTATTTCCTCACAAAAATATGTAATGGTGGAAGGTACGGTATTACGTTTTCAGCAAGTGTGGGGTATGTGAATTGGATGTTTTATTTTTTGTCCCAACAGAATACCACAGGTTTGAAAACCATTTTATATGACTAGTAGATCATTTCTAGTTACAAACCCGAAGTTATTTTTTGATCTATAATCATGTCTAGGTTTGGAAAATGGAACTAGCAGTGTTGGATTTGATTTACGGTTATTGACATAACTTTGAGTCGCGAAACTCTGACCGTGCACTTTTGTTATTATATTGTCGACAACCAACACGACAATGAACGAAGTGATATTACTTCTACTTAGAGAATATGACATAGGTCCAGCAAAATACCTGTGGAAACTAGTACAGGTTACAAGACTGTTGAAACAGAAGCCATAAAAACATTGGGAAAAACGTCATAACCCCTCAAGGCTGCAATGTTTTATGGCGAAGAACACCTACTAGGGGGATATACTTTCTTTACAGTTTAATGAGGGATCAATGTTTCTTTTGTCAGTAATTTCTGTGAGTTGCCAAAAGCCCCTCTAAAACAATAAAGGCACAGTGAGCCATGTATTTCTCTACAAAAGTATATTTGATGCCATAAACGATGTACTGTAGATCATTGATTGTAGATTTACCCGCCAGATAGGCAAATAAATACTTGTAAAGTGGTGTATATGCTGGAAGTTCATTTATTTCGCAGGATTTTTTTCACCCCCGTTTTCTGGAGAAAGAAGTGAAGCTGATGGAATGATAGGGCTTTGGTTGGTCTACTGGATATCAGTCTTTCGTGTAAAAACCACGTCAGATTCGCTTCATACTTTCGCAATATACTCGAATATGGCTTCGCAGAACTTTTCAGTAATGCTTTCTGAAAGCTTGTTAAGGTAAGACCGAAAAAAATTCCACACTCAACAAGACTATTTTAAAGTCAATGGCTTACTAGAGTTTCTGGGCCCGTTAGGCTCTTACTAGATTTATTAGAGATCCTTACAGCAACAAAAATAGTAACCTTCTTTGCTTCGGTACAAAACTCAGATTAATAATAAGACATAGAGTTGCCATGCCTATACCAATACAATACATGTATTTTGAAACGGGGATCGGACTATCCTTTTCTGTACAACTTATGGACGAGTGGGGTTGGGGGTAATGAGAAGTTATGGAGAATTTGTTTACATTTGAAGTAAGTTGGACCATAAAACAGTGGCGGTGGGTTTAGTTGATAATCGGAGGAATATTATATATTTATGAAATAAATCATTTCAGGTGAAAATGTATTCTGTTCAAATAGTTCCTACAAGAAATCTGATTTATTATTAATGATTATGGAAATGAGGCCAATTTTTTACCACCTACTAGATTTTTATTTATGTATTTATAATAAAGCGCGTGGTTTACTGGGTTAAAATTAAATTATTTCAAATTAACTAGTTCATAACGATGATAAATGTTAATTTCGAAAGTGATGAACTTTGCTTCGTGAAATCAGATGAAGAAATTTGTGATTTATTCTCAGATTTGATGAACAAGTGGTACGGTTTGATATTATTTAATAACAATGATAAATGTTAATTTCGAAAGTAATGAACTTTGCTTCGTAAAATCAGATGAAGAAATTTGTGATTTATTCTCAGATTTGATGAACAAGTGGTACGGTTTGATATTATTTAGTGATTTCATTCAAAATTTGTATCCAGGGGTCTGTGTGGACCGACATTGTTTTTTCTTCAATAATTCATGCTGACGAATTCTATAATTACGAAAAATCATTAATGTAAATGAAAAAAACTGTACTGAAACATAAAAAATATGTTTTTCATATGTGTGCTATAGGTCATATTCATTCTTTGATCAACAGACTAAAAAGGTTTCTGCTCAATGTTCAGTTAGTATACTAAATAGTTATTCTTGTGCAACCGGTGTTAAATCTGTTATTGCTCACTCAACAACTAACTTACGTCACACAAAGAATATGATTTCCGTTTTAGTTTTTCTTTGTTTGCACGAGGCTCTCGAGTTGCATATAGACAATATTCAATAAAAAATGACGTTATATGTCAAATAATGAAATAATATAAACCTAGTTTCAAAAACTTTATTTATAAGAATACAAAACTTTTTGGAATTGTTTAATTATTTTTGTAGTGATTAGTATCAAAGAATGAGTAATGAAATGCAAATATACATCGACCTAACGTTTGTCAAAATTATTTGCATAAAAATAGTGCTTAATGAATATCATATCTCATATCCGATGAGAATATGTCGATTTTGTTGAAAAGTAATAGTTGTTGTTTTTTGTATTTTCACAAATTTTTGAGTTGAATACAAATTTTAATTAGCCATTAATGAGCATTAATTAGCCGTTTCTGGCAAACTATTCAACGGATCAACCTGAAAATTCCACAGTATGCATAAGTCAATATGACCTATACGCTTAAAATATTTCAGACGAAGCGTCGTTGTCGGTTCTACTATAAAGTAGCGGCTTCTTTGATTTTTCAAATGGAATACCCCGTATATAATATCATATTATGATTCATTATCACTTCGTCAACAAATTCATATACTATTTTCCTATACCTATCTATTACCGTTTAGAAGATATAAATGAATTTCGATATTTTTTTTACCAAACATGAACTTTTATAAATGCTGATANACTTTGGCTAGAAGACAGCGCAAGAGCCTTGCAAGAAAGGAAAGCAAGAACAACCAGTGCTTGCACTTCCCTACATCAGAGGATTGTCGGAAAGGATTAGAAGAATTGGGTCCAAGTACAACATCAGAATCTGCTTCAGATCTGGAAACACAATCCGTAGCAGTCTCACGAAAAACAGGCCACCAAACGCGGACTGCGATTCCAAGAATGCATTTACAGGATACCCTGTGAGTGCGGCAAATCCTATATCGGTGAAACTAAGAGGTCGTTGAAAGTCCGTATTGCCGAGCACAAGAAACACACTCACACACAGCGAGGAGAAACCAGCAAATCGGAAATTGCAGAACATTTTTGGACACATCAACATAACAGCAAGTGGTCCCAAGCTGAGATAATCCACAAGGAGAAACACTGGTTTGAGAGGAAATTCAAAGAAGCTGCATAAATGTTGTCCCACGACGCATTCAGCCAAGCTAGCGTAGAGATACGCTACATATGGAAACCCATAATCAAGCGGAAAACGGTCGACTCCCGCCAAACGGTCATCTCCTGCTAAACTGGTGAAGTGAGGATAGGTGAAAGCACTCGAATGACCTAAAAATAGTCATCTCTCGGAGGAATAAGTCCAGTCATTACCCGAAGATGACTGCGGGTACTGACAAGCGAAACGTCGTGAAGTAACTTGGCTTGAAATCTTTTGATTTTTATTACATTTTAATTGTTCAATTTTCAGTTATTTGCTTGATTTTCATTTTATTGTAATTTCATTTTAGGGTTTTTTTGCTTAATAAAATTGTTGTTTTCAGCTATTCATTTCAATTTTCAGTTTTATCTGTTCTTTCAGGGATTTGCAGTCATATTATATCATTTCAGACAATGGAAGTCCGAACTAAAGAAATTCAATAAAGAGGATATTTATTATTATTGTCATTGTTATATGAAATGAAATGCTAGATATTTGGACTTTCTTTGTATGGAATATTGAAAACAGATTTGAAATCTTAGAAAAAATGAATGATTAAAACATTAGAAAGACTAGGATTGAAGTATTCTGATGACATGGATAAACAGAAGTGAATGAAACAATTTTTTTTCACGACATTATTTCGATTGTTAGTATGCACAATGGCCTTCAAGTGATAATATATAATCTTATACTTTTATATTTCAATTCTGTTAACCTTTTTTTTCCAATGATTGGTCTAAAAATTAATAACAACTTCTCAACAAACGAAATGCTTTAAAGTTACCATGAAACAAATATGAGGGTAGGTTATTTCCTCCACCTCCCCTTTTGTATCCATCCTTCTTCTACTGGGTGAAGCGTATACTTTCTGAGAATGCCTTTTCAGTACTTGAAGTTCTTTCGGACTCGTCCTAGTGCATATTGCTAGAGTCAAAGTATATTCGAATTGATGAATGATGAGGTTCAAGTAGACGGTTTCTTCCCAATCGATGTCTGGATCGCCTATAGGTAGCTTTCTGCTATCTTTTCGAAAAACATCCACCTCAGTCTGTAAATGAGTTGATTGAAAATGTATGCTCTCTATAATCATTTTTCGAGACGATTGAATTTAAAAAAAAAGAGAACCCATAAGTTTTTCACTTTAGCAAATTTTCAGGAAATATGTGAAATAATTTGAATAATTTTTTGGTAGAAACATATCTAACATAACAAAAACTTTGCAAGAAATAACTTTTTGAAAACATAATTCTCATATATCGATTAAAAAAAACTTTGAATGTTCAGCTTAATCTGATTATTGTAACTTTCAAGAATGAAATCATACGATTGAACATCTGAAGACGATGTACAATCAAAAGAGTACATTTTCCTCCGTAGGAAGCAGACTTTGACAGGCATAACTCACCTCAAATTTTGGCAAGTATCTGGGAGAACCTTTGACGTGCTTTTTACGCACGAAAAACAAGAGATCGTCGCAATCCATAGTTGACTCATTTTGAAACAGAAAATGTCTTACGAATAAGTCAGTCCAATAGGTTGTTCCTTGTAGCATCACAAATCCTGACTCTGCAACAAAGTATATGTTCAGAGGGTTCTTCAAAATTCATCTGAAAACTTTGAGAAAACATTCAACTGACACATGTACGAATATCACTGGGATTTGTTTAGAAACAGATACAGTACGTAGACAAAATAGTTAGATGTTTTATTTTGCCTATGCACTGAGAAAAACCATAATTGAAATTTTAATAGCAGCAATCAAAAAGTTCATCTACATACGTAGCAAAGTTCACTTATTATAAATGAAAGAAGAACCCTGACATTGTTTGTATGCAACTATTGAGCAAAATGACCAAATAATAGAAAGCACTACCCACAAGTGAACTAGAATACTTACGGTTATAACCCCAGCTCTTCATTATTATTGAACAATTTAATTGGTACAAGTTGAAAATTTATTTATCGTCTCTTCCCATAAAACAAAGAACTGGCCAATTGAGTTTGTCACATTGCTTGGATTCATTCACAAGAGAGGAAACTCTGGATGGAGATGAAAAACCAATGTGTTCGAAGTGCAAGCAAAGGAGAAAATGTACAAAGTCCTTATCAATCTATAAGTTTTCCCGTATTTTAGTAATTCACATTCACATTCCAACGGAAAGATTCACAGGCAAATTGAATGTTTCCATTGACTTTTTTTCAGATGGATAAGATATGAGCAATTATGCAGCTGACAATGTGGCTCCTTGTCGTTATAATCTATATGCATTTTCAAATCACAGTGGGACTACTTACAATGGACATTACACATCATATTGCAGACACCCATATAGTGGCACGTGGCATGAATACAACGATTCACACGTGTTCTCAATTTCGCCAAAATCACTTGTAAGCGAGTGATTTTTTTTTCTTCTTTCCTTTTTTTCTTATAATCTTAGTTCTTTGAATTGATTTGTATTTCATGATTGTTCCAAATTTCATTATTTATTGTAATATTCAATATTAACAAGGATTTTGAGATTGTCATAATAAATCATTCATCATTATTCAACTCTGTATCAGAACTAACCTCAACAAGTTCTGTTACTTGTAGAAAATTATAACTTACGATTCTTTGATCTTACATTTCTCAAGTTTGAAAATTAGTTTTATCAACACGATATATTAAATATTGAGTAATTGAATGGAAATACTGTCAGAAAGCAACCACATTTTTTGGGAAAACGAGACTGTTATTTCGAATTTGAAGTTGAAAATATCAAAGGATATATATATTTCAGAACTTTCTTCACCCAGAAAAACTGATCGAGGTAAGTATTTTATTAGATAAGTGGGAACCAATTTCAATTTGAACAAAACCTCCACTTATATGTGGCACCTGTATATTTTTATGTTTTAAATATGTTTTTTCCGTTAACCAGCTATCGCATCCCTACGAACGACAACCCTTAGAAGTCGAAATTTGGGCGAGCTAAGGACTAACGAGGTCTTACCTTTTAACGTGTGATTCCTAACACTGGTTGGACGATAGCAGGTGAAAATCGAGCGTTCAGTCTGGGGCTTGAACCATCGACTCACACATCGGTCGATTGACTGAGTGAACAAAGCACCCATGTCGAATCACCCGGTTACGAAAGCTCTCAAATGAAAGTATTAGGCTATTTCAAAAATGTTGTTCGTATTTATGAGTCTACTTCAAACTGTAATTCCTGATTGGACAATTATTCAACTTATTTGTGATAAGCACCTTTTGAATCAGTGCAGTTTGTCCAAATCGATTAATTCCGTCAGCGCAAAAATTGTATTACCGGGATTCGATGAAGTCGACGAAGGCCGTTTATGTCTGGTCCTAATTGGCGAAGGCTCTACCGGTGAGAAAGTTACCAAAGTGCTTGAAAGGATAGTAGTCTGTTGGCGAACGGTCTTGAGAGTATGGTGATCGAGGCAAACCTTCGACGCTCGATTCTTTTAGTTTTCGGATGGTGAAAACATAGTAGTCGATTGGTGAGAGGTCTGGGGAGTATAGTGGGTGAGGCAGAACTTCGAAGCTCAATTCGTTTAATTTTTGGACGGTGACTTGTGAAACGTGCGGACATCGTAGAGCAGAATCGAAGCACCTACTTTTCGAGTGAAAATTCACGCTATTGAATTATGTGCGCAGAGATTGAAAGAATCCAACCTCATACACAAGTTAATAAAAATATTCTCGGAGAGTCAAGCGGCGTTGGAAGCTCTTGGCTCCTACCGAGCAACGTCTAAATTGGTAGCAAATTGCCAAAAACGTCTCTTCTCGATAGGAAGACAACAAATTGTCCTGGCCATACTGGCCTGGAATCCAGCCTGAAGTGAAAGAGTGAAAAGAAAAAAATCATGAATTCAATAAATCCTGAAATTATTGCGAAATAACTATAATAGTAGAATAACACTGAATTTTGATTTTTGTACTCATTAATATTTCAATTGGAAGGTTATGTGGAGATTTTGTGGTTCAGTTAGCATTGAAAGTGATCAAAAGTATTCCAAATTGAAATTAATTACTTGAAAAATTCACAACCCGGTACATTCGTAATCCAGCTAAGGGTTCAGAAGGGTTTTTATATTTCTTGAATTTTCATTTTTGAAGTTGAAAATTTAGCTCTGCCTTATTCAAACGTGAAGCTTTCAGCTTTGAGAAAAATGTATGGGACTTGCATTGAAGATGACGAATAACTGTTTGATTGGTGCAAAGAAGAGTAATTCATAAGTATTCTGAAAAATCTTCGTGAGAAATTGTAAAATTCATCATTCAGAAAATTACCATAAAATATTCTGTAAATTTAGATACCTTCCGATTCAAGGAATCTATTTTTTGGCGTCATAGTTCAAACCGCCCTGAATAGAAATAGTAAACTGAATATTACTCTAATGAATCATGAATGACACTAGCAAAAGTACTCACCATTGGGAAAAGTGAGGAAATCAGCGTGAGAATGAGTAGGAGGGTGACGCAGTGAAAAGCATTTTTCTTACATAACAGCCCAAACAAATCATTATCAATTAGGGTCACGAAAATATACAACTAATTTATAATAAAGGTGAAATCAGCTAGTAGTGCTATTTCAAAACAGACGTCCAGAAATGAAAAATATTTACCATCTTTCAGCAACTGCCTCATTTCTTTGGTCCTCTGAAAGTTTATCTCTTCTAGCAACTGTTCAAGAACTGTGGGCGTTTTCAAGGAAGAACTATTGGAGTAAGCCATCATATCAAAATACGCCACAGCCGGGAATAATATTTAACTTCATGTATTCATCGGAATTAATATTATTTGCAACATTTTGTACTCTTGTTTGTAGTTTCGCAGTTATCAGAAGACACACGTGACTAATGCGAATATGTCATTGGATCGATAACCTTCCAGGGGACATGCGTGCGTTGCCCTGTTCGTTTTCCGATAAGAAACACAGGGAGTGTTACTTGCAGGAAAGTTTCGTCCTAGCAGCCATTTTAAGTCCTTATTTCTCGTTCCTGAAAACTAGTGAACAAAAATGAGATGTCATTTTGATAACTGACAATTGAGTTTGTAGTCATTCTAAATCTTTTGGGTATCTTCAAGTGAATATCTACACAGAGTGTTTTCTAACTACGGTACGAAACTTCAGACAGTGATTCGTTGGGTCGTTTTGAGAAAAAAGGTCCTATGAACATATGTCCAGAGTTGCTTCGTTTCTAAAATACAGGGCGTTGATGTTAAGAAAACGGTATTTATGAAATATCATAAATATCCTGACACCGCTTTGGTTGAAATTTACTAGATACAGTTATTTGAAATAATGAGGCGCTTATTTAGCCCAAACTAGATTGAAATTATCAGGTCAAGTGGCGTCTCAGAGGGCACCTCAGCCAACAATATTGAGGAAAAAAAAAAGAAACGTCACTGACTTTTTTGTAATTTTTAATTTTTTCAGAATAATCATCTGAAAATACAACTTAATATTATGTGTGTTTTCTTCATATCAAGCTTTGTTTTCGAGAAAAGATCACTTCTATAAACTAATAGTACTATGTTGCTGTATCGCTGCTGTTCCAATGTTTTGACAGAATCAGAATCAACGAACTTAGGCGTGCGCAGTGTTATAGAATAGTGCATTCGAAAATTGTTCTACAGCGCCATCTAGTGGTGAGTTACAGAAAAATTGATAGCCTTAAAACCTTATCTATGAAAAATTACTTATACATGTCAAGTTTCATCACGATCGGTTGAGCGATGTAGAAGTTTATCACTTACCAACCAACCAATCAACCAACAAACATCCATTTTTATATATTAGATTCATGGACAAATAATAAAAACAAAAGTTAATAAATACCAGTTAATTTCGATCTTTCTGATCAAATACACGATTGCAATTGATTTGTTATTGACTATATCACACGTTCAAAAATACCTGGAGTATTCCTCAACTCATTCACATCTAGTACAGGAGTTTCATAAACAAGAGACTTCTGGTAACCCCATAAATAGAAATCCAGAGAATTTCTATCAGGACTGTGAGATGGTGAATTTTGAGGTCCAAGCCATCGTTTAGAGTAGGTGATGTCGAAATGCTGACGAGCAAGAATACTAAAATGAGCTGGAGCCCCGTCGTGCATAACTTATAAGTACCGGCACTTCTTCTAACAAAATGAGTAAATGATCTCGCAAAAATTCTGTGTAGGATTCACCTGTTAATCTTGCTGGTAGAAAAAATGGGCCAATTAGGTAGCATCTCGTGAAAAATTTGCTTCGTCCGTTAACAAAATATTTGGTAAAACATTGTGTGCCATCGTATGAAGTATAAATCAACCACCTGCAAAACATTAATCTTGGGTAAAAATCCCGAGATAGTAGAGCTTGGACCCGCTGTATATGATATGGGTATAGGAGTTTTCTTTTTATCTAGAACTGTCCAAACGGTTTTTGAGCTGACTTCCAGTTGCAGTGACATCTTCCTGGTACAATTTCAAGGATCTTCTTCTATCGCATTAAGTTTAGCTTCTTCTATTTCAGGCGTTGTTACAGTTTCTGGTTTTCCACCACCTGCATTTTTATATAAACTCCCAGTTTCATCTAATTCCGTAGTGTTCTAAATATTTTAGCAAATGAAATTACTCTGTTTACATATCTATTCTGGTGAATTCTCCGAAGTTTTTCCGTATTTCCATTTCCTAATCCATAAATAAAGTAAATGTCATTTCAACGTTAGTAAAATTATTCATAATGGAATCACTGCTAATTCACAACTATGATTTTACTGATATGACAACACTATCACTGTCAGCTGGTCTCCAAAGCAGGTGTTTATGATATGCAAAGGGGCATACATTTTTTTCTGGAAAACGAAGCGAGATATGACTAAAAAACACATGCGACAAAAAAGTTTTATTTTCAGTTGAATAATTTGAAAGAATAAAAACAAGTCAGTGGCGTTCTTTTTTTCCCAATATTGTTCGCTGTGGTGCCCCATTGAGATTCCACTGGGCCTAATATTTTGAATCTAGATAAGGCTAAATAAGCGCCTTATTACTTCAAATAACTAGCAAATTTCTACCAAATCGGTGTAAGGATTTATATGATATTTTATAAATAGATACCGTTTTTTTAACTTCAACGCCCTGTATCTCAGAAACGAAGCAACTCTGGACATATGTTTATAAAAACTTTTTTTCTCAAAACAACGTAACGAATCTCCCTCTGAAGTTTCGTACCCAAGGTACGAAACACACTGTTTATTTCAAAGTGATACCTTTGGAATGTTAGATGGAAGAAAGACTGATCTGCTCACTCAACTTATATTTTATCACGATGAATGAGCAAAATATGAAGATTTTTTTCGAAAGTTGATAGTAGGTATATTGTTTTATTAAAAGAAAAAGTGGGGATTGACGGACAATCGGTAGGTGAGGCCGTTCATCATGCAAGCTACACTAAACTCTTTTCCTCGGACTGAAACATCGTTTGTGAAAAATGCAAATCTTTTGAAAAAATCAGGAGATAATTTCCTTCACTTTCAATGCCGGCGGCCACTGTCAGTGACGCCGTCACTAAAAGTAGACCGGTATCGGTGGATACAATAATTATCAGTCACAAAACATCATGCATTTTCAATGTTTGAAGGAGAAAGATATTATTTACCAAATAATAGGTTTTTTGTCAATCCTATACGTCGCAAAATGAAAAAGAAATTTTTGAAGCACTAACTGTTCTATTAACCTAGTTTGAATTGAAGTCCATTAGAAATGCATTCTCAATTTGATATTTCTGCAAGATTTTTCACAGATCACAATGTATCATTTTGTTTATTTTATTTAGTTTCAGAATGTAACATTCGTTTTTTTTGGAATCTAGGATGTTTGGAAAAACCATTAAATATTGAAGTTGCATGATGTCAGTGAATTCCGCCACTTCAGAATAAATTATATTCATTGTGCTAACTACGGTACGAAACTTCAGACAGTGATTCGTTGGGTCGTTTTGAGAAAAAAGGTCCTATGAACATATGTCCAGAGTTGCTTCGTTTCTAAAATACAGGGCGTTGATGTTAAAACGGTATTTATGAAATATCATAAATATCCTGACACCGATTTGGTTGAAATTTACTAGATACAGTTATTTGAAATAATGAGGCGCTTATTTAGCCCAAACTAGATTGAAATTATCAGGTCAAGTGGCGTCTCAGAGGGCACCTCAGCCAACAATATTGAGGAAAAAAAAAAGAAACGTCACTGACTTTTTTGTAATTTTTAATTTTTTCAGAATAATCATCTGAAAATACAACTTAATATTATGTGTGTTTTCTTCATATCAAGCTTTGTTTTCGAGAAAAGATCACTTCTATAAACTAATAGTACTATGTTGCTGTATCGCTGCTGTTCCAATGTTTTGACAGAATCAGAATCAACGAACTTAGGCGTGCGCAGTGTTATAGAATAGTGCATTCGAAAATTGTTCTACAGCGCCATCTAGTGGTGAGTTACAGAAAAATTGATAGCCTTAAAACCTTATCTATGAAAAATTACTTATACATGTCAAGTTTCATCACGATCGGTTNAGTGCAAGAGAGTTCAAGATTATCAGCATTTATAAAAGTTCATGTTTGGTAAAAAAAATATCGAAATTAATTTATATCTTCTAAACGGTAACAGACAGGTATAGGGAAATAGTATATGAATTTGTTGACAAAGTGATAATGAATTATAATATGATATTATATACGGGGTGTTCCATTTGAAAAATCAAAGAAGCCGCTGCTTTATACTAAAAGGGACAACGCCGCTTCGCCTGAAATATTTTAGGCGTGTAGGTCATATTGATTTATGCATACTGTGAAATTTTCAGGTTGATCCGTTAAATAGTTTGTCAGAAACGGCTAATTAACGCTCATCATGAAAAGCCCTGTATATACTTTCTTTTAATCTCAATTTGTTGCAATACACAACAAATAACAATTGTTAATAAGTTAATATCTGAAAGTTTCAGAATGTAACATTCGTTTGGTGAAAGCATATGTAAACCCTATTTTTTGGAATCTAGGATATTTGGAAAAACTATTAAATATTGAAGTTGAAGTTCCCAGAGTTCAAGAAAAATCAGGAGGATATATTTTGAAATATATTCAATGCTCAAAACTTTTTGGAATTGTTTAATTATTTTTGTAGTGATTAGTATCAAAGAATGAGTAATGAAATGCAAATATACATCGACCTAACGTTTGTCAATATTATTTGCATAAAAACAGTGCTTAATGAATATCATATCTCATATCCGAAAAGTAATAGTTGTTGTTTTTTGTATTTTCACAAATTTTTGAATTGAATACATCTTTCACTCTCAAAATGATGCAAAATGTTTACTATGGAACGAAAAAATTATTTAATTTTGATAACAAATTTTTCCATCACTGCCAACATTTCAATGCAATATAAATGCAATGTTGAAAATATTTTCTTGTATATTCTATATATACTTTCTTTTAATCTCAATTTGTTGGAATACACAACAAATAACAATTGTTTACTCATATTTGAAACTTAATATCTGAAAGTTATCTAAAAATAAACTATGATGAATCAGTAGCTAGTAAAATACATACTCACTATTTTGTCTGTGTATTTTTTTCTAAATAATGAATTCATACTTTTTTTCCATCTAACTTTCTAACACAAAGAAGTTTTTTTATGGAATGAAAAATTAAATCCTACCTCACTATTCAACCTCTCTCAGAGTTGATGTGAAACTATCCTCGCACACAAACAGATAACGATAAACAATTTGTTTGTGGTTTATTGCAAGATGTCGCTACCCACACTAAGGAAGAGCTAAGCAGAAATTTCTCCTATTTCACAAAATATTGTATTTACGGGTGCTAGATGTCGCTACACATACTATCGAAGAACTAAGCTGAATTTCGCCTATTTCACAGTATAATTCAATTTATCTCGGCTAGATGTCGCTTCACATACTAACCATAAAATGAATTGGATTTTCCAACTTCATTTATTTTCATTAGTCTATGAACAGTTCAACAATGGCATATAGGTACATTCCTTAATCCTGGGAAGTTTCAATTTTTTCGACTATTCTCTAAGCTAAGTTGTTGTTCCTTGCAGTAAAGCACATATGAAAGCACTGAATATTTTCTATTATTTGTGTAAATTATTATGTCCGCAGTTCGATCGACATAGTTTTTATCGCAATAACCTTTCGAAAATCTCAGATTTTTTTCCGTTGTCTTGTTTTTCGGGTTGCCCAACACTAGTTGAAGTGTACGAGCAGTTTTGAATGCCAGTTTTGTATCAACTTTTCGAAAATTCAATTCGTTGTTGTGTTTTGGTTCATATGAAAAAACTGTGAATTTTGAAGATTCCGCTTTCTGAAAAGTCGATCTCTAGATTTTCATTTCGTAATTACTAATTAATGAAAGATATTGTTTGAAGAATTGGAGTATATGGTTCCAGTAGTGAACCAATCCATTGTATTATTTAAAATCATAAAAAAACACTTACATGTGACAGAAAAACTTATGTTTGTATTTTATATCAATTATTTTATTTATATCATAACTACATTTCATGTCATTATATATACTTATTTAAAAAAGTATCCAATTTAATTGTATTTATGGCTCAGAGATAAATATGGTAACATATCAATAATTCACTTCAACTTATCCTAATCATGAAATTATAAACCAACAAAAATTATATGGCGCTCCGGAGCGACTTCATTGATTACAGTAGCGCATTTGCTTTTTCAGCTGCAGGAAACCTCGGAAAAACCTGCAGCACCACATCATCTGAATATCTTGATCTTCTAATGTCCTCTCTTTCATGAAACAAAATATAGGGTATCTCCAGAGGCTCCAATGAATTCAAGACATCTCCAGAACACTTAGTGACACAACTATCGTCATACTTAAACCAGTCCTTCTTGTCTTTGACCAATGCGTAATAATGACCAGATTCAACGCCAGAACCACAGTGAACAATAACTGCATGAAGATTACAATAATAGTGGTCTGCTAGATAGAAGTGTTCATCTATTTTGATCCTTGGTAAGAGTTTGGTGCTTCCGTCAGAGCTTGAGTCATATTTGAAAATCATCAGTGTTATTAGATTGACTGGTGCCTCAGCTATACTTGTTGTCTTAAGATACTCACTTAGTTTGGCGCATGTTTGGCAAAACAGTTGATCATCACCCGTTAAAAGTTCCATTTTCAGATGATTCAACAGTAAATTTTATACGGGCCGGTTATCATTCATATTAGGAAACGCTCGTCATGAACAACACTTGTAAAATGCAATTCATTCATGTAGCAAGTGTTTCCTAAATTATCTAATCCTAAATTATACTAATCCTTTCTATCAAAAAAGAAGTAGTACGGTATAATCTTTCGTTCATGAACTTCCCAGTTCATGAACGAATAACAGAGAATCCTGGCCCTAAACACTGAAAGTTTGAACCGCTACTGGAGGGAACAGATAGTTGTTACCAAGATTTTGGTATTTTTTTCGTTGGTATTAATTTTTCGCCAGACAATGCTGCAGTTCCTACAGACTTCGGACTTTAGGGTGGATGGGAAGCCGATCTTTCTATCTTATTTTGTCTCGCTTGTTCGTTCCCTTAATTTTTTTCACTTCATTATATATTTCATAGGATGGTCCAACCATAATGCACGATGTTAACTGTGAGTCACACCTCAACGTCGTTTTTTTCCCAACTTAATTTGACATTTCTTTGTTTCAGTGTTTGACAAATTCAACCACACACATACACAATTGTACTTCTTCGAAAATGAGGTCGGCTAAGCAGTTGCCGAGAATGGTGTTCGCTATCGCGAGATGATAACGGACTTCTTGTGTCCAGAAATTGAGGATATGGCCCTGGATGATATGTGGTTCCAACAGGATGGTGCCACTTGCCACACAGTTAACGAAACAATGGCTCTTTTGCGCGAGAAATTCAATGGCCATGTTATCTCATGTGGTGTGGCGATGTTAATTGGACGACATGCACGATTATATGATTTGACACAGTTGGAATTCTTTCTTTGTGTATATTCAAAAGTAAAAGTGTACGTCAAGAAGCTGAGAACAATTCAACATCTGAAGGATGAGATAATTCGGCACATTAACGACATTGAACCTCAATTATGTCTTAGAATCATTGAAAATATAGACCATCGAATAGAGGTATGCCACCGAAGCCGTGGCGAGCATTTGACTGATATTTTCTTTCACAAATATGTCATAGATCCTTCTATCATAATAAAACATATTAAGATAATTCCCTGAAATCTTTTTGTTTTTTTTTTACAACATTTCATCAACATCGTGCGTTTTGGTTGGACCACTCTACAGGTAGAGAACACGTACTGGCGATTTAAATGAACTTTTTGAGAATCATCCATAAGAATTATTTACATCTTTTGTGGTATCTGTAGAGTAGGGAGGGTGAGTGTGAGCCCACAGCACTTAGGCTACATGTGGCCCATTGTACATCCTCCCGAGGAGTTGTGCTCCTATGTCATCGTCTATTCTGTCCTTTCCACTGTCACTGGGAGACATCTCCTATTATATCGGCAGGTGTAGGCCAAGACTCGCCGAACACACACTCTCTTATTAATGATAACTTCGGACATTCGCATAGTACATGCCTGACAGGGTCACCTTCCTGCTCACACATCCCGCATAGAGGTGTTTCCACTAGCCCCATATTATGAAGGTGTTTCCTTAGTTGACAGTGGCCAGTCAGAAATCCTACTGTTAAGCGTAGATTTGTTAATTTTAACGAGTCGTAGCGACAGAAAGCAAAACCATCAGAATAATGAGAGCACAAAATCATAAAAAGCTTACAAGCATAAAAAGCATACAAGCACAAAAAAATATATCAAAGTATCAAAACCACTAATAGTATAATCAAGAACCAACCTACGGCCTTGCCTCCGCAAATCAAGAGCACATGGGACATGTACCGCTTTCTTGCTCTAGATCAAGAAACGAGTAAGGAAACGTTTCATCATCAGTATCAACTACCAAAGAGTGAATGACTTTGTCTTCATTGAATTGTGTGTTTCCATTGTACATAAAAATTGTATGTCTCTAATTCTCTGAGAATAACCATAATATATCTTTCATTTTAATTTGGAGTTCCGGTCATTGAAGTGGGAACTATTTTTCACAAAAAAATATTTAGTTATGAAATTCTGTTACGAAAATTCAAACGTTTTATATATAGTTATGAACAATAGAAGGCATTTTGATATCTACCGAAATTTGTGAGTCGAGAAATATGATATTCGTAACGAAAGTAGGGTTTATTGAAACCAATATCTCTACGAATGAAACANTTTGTAGTTTCTACTCCATGAAGGCCATACTTACTTTTATACAAATATTTATGTACTTACATATTCTTTACAACTTCTTGCGAAACAAGACCTCTGCTCTTATCGCCAAACCACTTGTATTCACATATTTTGTTTTAATTGAACTCTAATCTGTATACGTTGTGAATAGAGTTATTATTATTATTAATATTATTATTATATACATTACATTTTCTTTACAACCATATAACCCAAGTTATAAAACTGCTTCTACGTCATCATCTTGAATAGAAATAGTCTATTTGAAATGATGGCGTAGAAGACATTTTCTCCAAATTCAATTTGGCGATACTATGACGTCATCTATGGAACTATTGTCAAACAAAAGACTTGGAAAACTAAATTCCATATTCATCTTCGGATACAGTGATTGGTTGTGATTTGTGTTTGTAAGTGATTCAAGGGAGATCAAAAGTCGTTTAAGAATCAGTAAGTTTATTCCATTGCTTTTGAAACACTTTCAACAAAATTCACGAAAAATATTCTCCCATCAGTCACTGGTTACCTATTTTGAACAAAACTAAACTTTCATCATCCGTTCTTTCACTAAACGGCTTTCATTGATTGAAAACGTATTTCCAGTGTGGTTTTAGAATTGAAAAATGGGATGAATTAAATTAATTGAAAAAGTAACCTTTTTGATAGAAGTCAAACTAATTTCCTTTTCCCTGACTGAGTCAGTTCGGAAAATCAATGCTTGTGCTGGTGATTAAAGGTAGGACCAAATTCAGTTAGGGGATAGTCATAGCGTAAGATCGCCCGTAGGGCGGTTGTCGATAATATATCAATAGGGGATGATTCACGTTGAACCGAATACTCACCCTACTGAAATGATGTACCTACTCGCGGGTAAATAGAAACACGAAACTTCGATAATCCCTCTTCCAATATTTTCTTGTTTGTATTGAGACCTGCTTCTCAGGGAAAAATTCACCAGTGACGGAAATAAGTATCAACTAAAAATATTTGATGACGATATAAGAGGTGTCATGATTATGTATTTCGCTGTTGGCAAAAGTGATTTATGTCATATCTGTCATTGTCACTTGTCACAAATATTCAAAACTAAAATTAAACTGTATAAAAGCTCCTATACGGGTTTTTTGGCCGTGGTCAGCGAATTTTTTTGCTTGACTTTTTGGGCGAAGTATTCAGGTTAGGCATTTATTGTGATATTTTTGAATATAAGGTGGCTGGTAAGGTCCTATACCCAAAAGTTCCAACCCATTCGGAGGTCGTGCTTGCATCATTAACCAATGGTCATTCACTACAATCATGGGATAGGTGGTCATTGGGTCCTAGAATCGTACGTTTTGAGTCACGCCGGGATTATATATTATTCTTATTACTAG